AGACGTAATTAGAAAATAAATGGCAGGTTCTTTAAGCTAAAATCTCAAGCGATAAAACGAAGAAATCGCAGGGGGCCCTTCCGGCTCGCATTACACGCGCGTGCCCCTGTTGTTGCAACTGTCGTGCTCCGAAACAGTTGGCTCCACTCTCAAGAATGTCTGCGAATTGTCAACGTAAGATCTCGCGCCGACACATCCGGCCTTTTAAGCGATATGTCGCCGGCTACTTATGGCATCTTACGATCTATCCATGATTTCTTTCTTCCAATAATAGAGAAACTCATTTGCGGAAACAAAGAATAATTCTCTTGTACGTGCGCAACACAAATTCCTGGACAAATTTAAGGCGCAGCTACAGTTTTAATTAAATTATTATTATCAAAAACAAAGTTCTTACTATTCTATTTATAATTTTGATTAAACTATACTTTCGAATTATCAAATGTTCTAACAATATTCTAACAATTTTCATAACTGATCGTTTCGTAAAACGTTTCGATTAAACAAATATTGATTTTAAAAGTTTGTCAAAGAAACTATGCTCGAAAGAAAGTTGTGTACAACAATTTTAGGATGTTCTATATACTTATCTAGCCGACATCTAGATACGAGACACATCATGTGTACATATCAAATAAAATCTGACGCGATTCTTTCAAATGGGAATACTAGCATCATCCGATAACCGAAACGTACGAAAGGCCGTGACGAATTACTCGAAGCTGGTCGAAAAGCCCGAAGAACAATCAATATCTGTCGTTCGTAACTGGCATAAGTCGTACGTGCTCGCGAACGTTATACAGGCGGGCAACGCGTGCCAGTTTCCATCGGGAGTGACGGTAACAGCTGTTGCACGTCCATTTCGGAGCTTTCTCCGTGGAAACTCCACGGGGAAAAGAGAAAGAGAAAGATAGAGATAGACGGGGGAGAGAGAGAGAGAGGGAGAGAGAGAGAGAGAGAGGAGGATATTGGCGGCGGTGATCGTCGCGTAAACACAACCTAAAAGCAGTAGATCACCCGGTTCCTCCTCGTACGTTTCTGAACACGCGCGGCCGCGCGCCACGCACGGATATCTGTACGCTACCTTGAAACACCGCGCCCGATCGATTTATGCTTGTCAGACAGGAAAGGAGCAAACGAACCGAGACAACGTCGACGCTGAAGAATACATCGATCGCGAACGGGCTTGTCGTTGCGTGTTTTAAATTATTTAATAAGTTAAATTTCGAAGAAATTCGCGGCAAAAACTTCCAATGGATTTCACTTTAGAATAACATTCTGGAGAATTCTCTGTGTGTTTTTCCGCAACGTATGTATGTATGTCGCAAATCTAATAAAGCACTATGGGACTTAATAAATTACGCAATTCTATTCTGATTCTATACGTAAAAAGCCTTTTTCTTGCTGCTTGTTCCCGAATTTGTAAACTGGAATTCGTGTTAACCGCTGATAATTGGTCTTAAACGTAGTCCACGGGAGAGATACTCGATGTGGTTCGCAACATCGTTGCTCGTTATGCTCTTTTTTGCAGGAGTCTTCTCTAACGCGCACTTGTCAGCGAGTTTTTTCGCAAGTTTTTCAATCGAAAAGCACGTGTCCATTATTAAGAGCTAGATTGCAACCTGGGCCGATGCTTGCTCGACACGTCTCACTCGAAAGTTTTTCCGCTGTTTTTTTTTTTTTTTGTCTCTTTCCGGCGGTGAGCCACAGGGATTTTACAATCCTAATAAAAATCCCACGAAAGGAAAATTCTGCTCGTTCAGTATACATATATAGTGCGCGCACGCTTGCCTTTTTAACCCAAAAACCTCATAAAAATTAAAAGCAAGGTTTACCGTTGTCGGCGTATCATTGTCCCATGCGGCTCCACCGTTTCCTTTCGTGCCTTCCTCTATTTCCTCTTTTTTTTTTGCACCAAAAAAAATCGAACCTTAATGGTAAAAATGCGGACTTGATGAACGTTATAAAAAAAAATTCTTACGTCGTGGTCACTGCGTATAGAAAGATGTGGCAAGCGGTACGAACAAAAGAACGTGTGAGAAGTTTTCTTTCGGAATATTTTTTTTTTCAGCAACCGTAAAAACGAAGCAATCGTCAGTCGGCATTGTAACTCTGTAAATTGTCGTTCGGTCATATATCACTCGATTAAAAAATAATATTCTCCGTGGTATATATCTGCGTTTTTTGCGTCCCACCATCGCGTCGCCTCCACTGCCGCCGCCGCTGTTTCGCGCCATCTCGTCGATATCCTTTTTCTTTCGGGGGACACGATCCGCCCCGTGGACCCCGTGGTGCGACACTTGAAATTCTAATTCGCGCATATTTACTGTCTAACGGAGTAGAGATATTTCACCGCGCGTCCTAATGAAACTGCCTCGATATATGCGGCGCTTCGCAACGCTTCGAAGACAGACTTGGCGAGGATATACGGCGCACGTGCAACTGGTATAAATGAGTCTCTGCTGAGATTCTCGCAATTCCAATCAATATCAATACGAATGTCTGATGGTAACGAACGATATCGGAGAAAAGTAAACGCAGCAGATCGTGGAAGAAAGAAGTGAGAGATAAGGCTCGCGCAAGTTTTTCCTCGCTGCAGTTTTACAAATCGGCGGCTCCCTTATTCCAGGCATAAAAAAAATCGACCATTCATTCGAGGCAATCGATAAAATCTGGTCGCTGTCGAAAACGCGAGATCGTATCATAACGTAGCTTTTACAGCGATAGGTACGGGCGGCCGCGGCGCGGTGCGGCGGATGTTCGCCGTATCGCTTTTACCATGAGTCCATCCGGATGCTTGCATTGCGAATACGCGAGAAACAAAACAGATTCGAAGGGTTTTAGTTACCTAAACGTGCTATTCTTGTTACAATTATTTTTCCGCAAAGAGAGAACGAAACGCACGGATAATTTCAACGATTTCAACCGACCTCAGTCAGTGGCGAACATGGTGAGAGCGAATCGCCTATGTCCGATAGCTTCCCTAACCGATGGTTTGCACGCGAGATAAGCATGGAAAAAAAGACCTACGCAACTGTGTAATTACCCTACGTAATTCTGGGGCCGGCCGCCGGACTGACGCGAAATTCGGTAGTTCCGCCGTTCCGCGAGCGTTGTGTGCGGCGATCGCCGAAAAGGAAAAAGACCGGCCATTCATGCGCGTACGCGATACAATCTGAGAGCTGCGCTGAAAGCGCGCCAGATCGTATCGGCCAGTAATGCGATCCCCCAGTAACATAATGGTGCAAAACCCGGCCCATTGTTGTCGACCGGGGTGCATTTGGTGCACAGGATGTGCTCCCGATTTTCTCGGGTGTCGTATAATGTGGCTTACGCCTAGCGGGGGGATGATAGGAGGGGGATAATGGATAATGCAGCGAGATTCAGCGATTTAGGATACCGAGAGAGAGAGAGAGAGAGAGAGAGAGAAGGGGGAGGTAGTTGTAGCGGCCAGGCGGATAAATATTCTGTATAGACTTTTTTTGCCAAGTGTAATCCGTAAACGTATCTTCCTGTAGAATTGTAAGAGGACCGATTTCCCACGAATAGTTTAATTTAAAAAAAATTAATAGGATTTTTTGTTAAAAATATAATTCTATAAGAAACTTGATAACGCGTAATTTTAAAGAACAAGTAAAAATGGGTCAAGCTTTAACTTCGAAAGATACAAATTTTGCGAGTTTTGCCTTTTTAAAAATCAATAATTCATAATCATTAAAAATGTAATAATTATCCTACATATGTATGCAATGTAGCAAGTTTAATATTTTTATTTTCTCTAGTAGTCTAGTATATTATTTTTAATTAAATGTAGTTTAAAATTATTTGATTTTTCGAAAGAAAATTAAACTGTATAATAGAATACAACCAAGAGATAATAAAAGGCACACTATAAAAACCAGAAATAATTTTATCTCACAATATACTATCGGGCACTCATCAAATATTTTTTTATTAAAAGGTGTAAATAAAAATTTAGCTTCAATTTTTTATCATGCTCCATACATATGAGTCTTGTTATTCTTATTGTTTTTATTTATTTTTCAGCTGAAATCTACCACTTTTCCTCAAATGTTTATGCACTATGTTATTGCACTATCGCTCGTAAAAACATGTACACTCTACCGGCAGAAATGCCTGGACATAATACATATGCATATACATGTACATATATGTCATATACATATCAAAATGTCTAGGTATTCCTGCCGGTCAGTGTACATAAATGGCTCAAATGACTGCGCGGAGCAATCATCCCTAACCCCTGCGAAATCGCAGAAAATACACGTGGCCGTGGCATAGCGAAGTGGCGCCATCGGCAGTAAAACATGAAATTACCAGCGCATCGCAACCATCGCAACGGATAACATAACTGATGTCGCGTGCGATTTCAGAGATCTACTTTACCGACCTCTTTTTTATCTACTACAAATAAGAAAGTTTGCCAAGTTGTCGATATATGACGATCACGCAGTATATATAATATAAAATAAATGATCGAACGAAGCACGATTACGAATTATATTTTCCGCTTATCTATCGTCGGTCTTGCACACGTTGTGAAGAATATAACGACGTTTCCATTAAAGCACAATAGCATTGCGTGATGTCAATTCGTTTTGAAAAAGAGTAAAAGACAGATAATTACAGATACGAGGATGCAATAAATACGTAAACTCACCGGTCGTTGTGTCACCGGTGTCACCGCATCGCCATCGTCAGGAATGCCGACCGCAGCTTCGAGAACGTCTTCCATTTCCTTCACTCCTGCTCCGAAATTCTGGTTACGTGGTCCATCCAAGATAAGTTCAAAATGTCACAGAGTTCTAGTACGCGTTTATTCACTCCCGAGCCCGAGCACTCCCGACAGTCCCGACCGCTTCCAAAATCCGCTCCGATTTTGAACAACACGACGCGACGCGGCACGCAGCGCAAGTGCAACGACTGCACATGCGCGACTCGCGACGCGATTCGCGAATCACGACACATTCTTATTGAATCAAACTTTCGCGAACGGACAATTGTCGGACACATCCCGCGATTCCCGCCAATTCCCGCGCATCGCGCTAGACGATCCACAGCCACAGCTCGACACTACACGATCGATCCCGCACTCCCGATGACCGCGATGACGCTTGGAAACGCACAAATTACGCGATATGCGCGACGATCACTTCGGTAAGTAACGACTGGAAGTACGACGGAGCAGAGCACAGGAATCCGAAAGCGTTTTCGGCACATTCGCCAAGTAGCCAAAAGTGTAACCTTTCGTCACGAATTGGCACGTTTGCTCGCACTGGCAGATAAATATCGCGACACCGAGGTTGCTCGTTTTCCCTCGGCAGTCTCGGCACTCGCGATCATCCTCGAATGCTTTCGACACTTTATTCGCGCACGCGAGACTCGCTTTCAGCGAGAGAGAAACCGCAGCCGCACCGCTCCGGAGCAACGCACCGTCGACAATGGAGAAGGAGCGAGAAGGACGGCGCGAACTAAGATGGCCGCGCATGCCCGCGTAATTTTGCCTACGGGCCCGCGCGCCCGCGCCGCGGTAACGTTAACGTTTATTGAATCTAATCTTTACTAGTTTTTACCTGGAAAAAAATCACACAGGCCGTCGTTTTATATATAATAAACGTTGTTGCACGTAATAACGAACATGTAATTACTCAACGATACTACAATGATAAAAAAGGAACAAAAATCAAAAATTAAATTATATAAATATAAATTGATCAATGTTGGTACAACTGCCTTAAAATTTATGTTTTCCGTTTAAAAGAGAAGAAGGAATTAGTTTCGAATTATTATTATTTCTTAACGTTTATAGAAATCGGTAACACAAATGGACTCGATTTTTCGTGAGCATTTTTGATGAAAATTTTGATTAATTATTCCGAATAAAACAAATAAGGCTAAATAAAGCTAAAATTACGATTACGAACAATACATTATGGTGCTTACGGTAATTACTGTAAACGTAATAAGAATGATAAAAATTCAGTACATCTCGATGTATTTTAAGTGAACGAATAAAATGCATTATTTAGTTTATTTCGCTATTTACTTTTTATGCAAGAAAATAAAAAGTTCTGAAAAACTAAAGCAATTTAATTATTTTGGTGATAATGTTATTGTGAGATTTAAAATTTGTAACATTGAAAGAAGTTTTTCAAGATAATCAAATTATACGAGAAGCTCTTCGATAAAAGAGATTTTGCTGTTTTAATCCTGATTTACGAGTTATAACATTTTTATATGGGATAGTTTTTACTTGAACGCTTCCATTTAATACTTCAGTCAATTTACGCTTTGCAATCCAAGCCAAACGAACGAGCAAGCTCGTACTTTAAAGCTCGTGCGCGACCAAATAGGATCCGAACGCGAGAGAGAGAGGTGGAGCAAATCTCACGTCTGTGTATTATTATCCTTTTGATGTCCTTCTCAAAGCCGGACCTTGTCGAGCTTACATTCCTCGCTGTTGTAAGTACAGGGAGGTAGAAGCTATAAATTTTGGCAACCGAGCAGATGCGTCGCTCGCGTGATTGTTATCATTTTCTAAAGTGCATTATTACGTGTATATTCTTGACATCTATGTTACAAAATAGTGAAATATATTATTTATACATTCAAAATAATCATGCAAAGCAAAATATCTGAAAAAAATAACGAGCAAAATATAATTGACGATATATACAAAGAAACACACATGTCAGTTTTTCGAATAATGATTTAAATCATTAAAAATGTCCAAGTTAATAACGAATGCACCAAATTTTTAATGTATCTTATAACGTCCACAATCTGTGTATTAATCTCATATAACTAATAAGTTACATTTCTCAATGACGTCTAAAAGTTTCATGAAAACGTAATTTTTCAGTGATCGATGGCATTGTCAGGTGCTGCTTTCCCAAGTTACGTGAGACTCGAGTGCCATCCCTGTACCTTTGGAATCTGGAGTGTACTGGACAATACAGGGAGACAGTCGCAGCGGGGCTTTATTAAGCTTATTAACGGAACATACAAGGGTGGACGTATCTACGTCGCGGTGGTCGGGGAAAATATAACCGCCGAGAGGGACGTGCGGATGGAAGGTAATGGTGACGGGAAAGCTGTATTTCAACTCATTTAATCGTGGCGCATTCGAGACCTCTATTTGTCGTATCTATTATAATATCGTAGCGTCTCTCTTTCTCTTTCTCTCTTTCTGTTTCCATTTTTATCGCCTCTGCCACTTATCCTTCGAACGACACGGTAGAATAAAATGAAAGAGAAGCGTTTCGAGAACAATCTTAATTAACCATTAATATTTCACGGTAAAATAGTGTTATTTCAAACAACTGGTATACCTCGTAATTATTATTCTGTTGTATAAAATAAAAGTGAAAAGTGTGCCAATAATTGATACATCGATAAAATAAGCTCTATTTTATGAGCTCTGTATAAGTAACATTCGTACAGACAGTAAATTAACGAATAATTCTATATCTAGGATTAAATATTGATCTTAATCTTCTATGCATTTTAAGGCAATCTTTTTGTGTTTGTTCTTTCTCGTAGCACTATCCACATTCATTTGAACATGTTTGTTTATTTGTATTTTAAAGATGTAAAAATAATATATATTTTTTTATGTAGCAACCCTCGCCTACCATCTTTTCGACAAATTTTTTTCTCGATTCGCCCGCCCTCGTTTTATCGCGTGTTCTGCACAAAAGGATTATTAACTGCACGCTTCGTAGCTGAATTAACGAAAGACAAATTATATCGGAAACGGAAACGAAAAGAATCACTCCGTATGGTCACGAACAAACCACGTTCTTATTTTTCGTTTCTAACAATAATACTTTCTGGTATCATGACATATTTGCCGTTAGGCCATTATAACTTCAAATTATTTAACTACAAAATGGTTTCAATGTATGATTTCAATTATCATATACATTAAAACTTGTATTAACTTGCATTTTTTTTCATATTAGTCATGTTTCTTTAAATTAATTTTTGGAGAAGCTTTATATTTGTAATAAAGTTATCTGCTACTTACAGATATACACACGCGTGTAAGAACCAAGGGAAATGAACGCTCAAATGCGTAAGGGCCGCGGCGGATTTGCTGGTAAGCTGACGGAACAGGAACGATCCTCGTCTAATCGCATCCCTAGTCCTGATTTAGGACGGGATTTTAATTACGAAGGGTCAGTAAGTGCGGCTGTCCACTTGGCACAAGTATTCCTCCCTTATTTATAGTTCATTAGCTCGGCTTTCGCGTAGAAGGCAAATTAACTTATGCCTAACGATACACCGCCTCTATCCACCGAAAGAACAAGAATTTCTCCCTTTCACCGTTAAAGCTTGCAATGAAAAAGAGGTAAATATATTATAAAACATAAATATGTCCTTTGAGATTTTGTAATATAATTTTTATTATATTAAACCATAACATTGTAAAACTTATATTTCCTATAAAAATATAGCATTTATTTAAGATTATAATTCAATTATTTAATGGAAATTTTTAGCGAGAGATAGAATCAGTAAGAAACGAAAAGAATTATTTTATTTTAACAATCAAATGGCTTTAAAAATTTGAATCTCTCTACCAAAGTAAATTTCCTAACAAGAAGAAATTTAATTTTGTAATTGTTAAACGAGTCGTAAAGCACACATCACAGAGAATAATATACTTTGTGTAAGCCAACACTTTTCTGAGAAAACAATCAACGATAAGGCGGTCTTGTAAGCTTTTCCGGTGGCGCTGGAAGTGGCTCAGAGCGATATCGTCGCACTGATAAAAATGCGTCAAAAGATCTTTCTATTTATTTTGGCTACCCGCTGTTAATCTATTATCTCGTACTGCCTAATGCAGCCGTCGGACATAATCTTGTCGCTGTTGAAAAATGTTTTACTAAATCTCTTTTCAATCGGATGTTGGCCGTAAAACAAATGATTGAATTTATCATCTAAAGATTAATTATTATTCTTGATAGTCTTTCTTATTGCAATATTATTTGCTAAATGTATTTAATTCAAAAGAATCAAGATCATTATTTAACGTATCAAATAACAATATTCTGATATTTTACATCTACAATATATTTAGTTCATACTGAACGTACTAATTCTTTGTACATGTGCTTCATATACATATAAACATAGACGCTTCTTATCTACCGAATTGCTACTAACGAGAAAAAATTCAAAAAAGTTAATGTCTTAATTTGTGCTCGTATACGTTGTTACTTGTGTAACATACAAATAATGCGGTCGCGGCGGTTGCGGTTTCGCGATTGATCGTAGTGCCGATTTTTGCGGCGATTCCGAACATTTCGCGACGCGGATAGGCGAGCGATTGATAAATTTATCCCCATACACAAGGAGCACATCCAAGGGGTTAATCACCTATATTCTTGCGAACACGGCAAACCGCATCTACCTTCTCGATTACGCTTGAGCACAGACCACAGTGCAATGAACAGTAGCATCTTGCGACCGCGATTCAGAATTTTTGGTGAGCCTGAAAATATGACGGTCCAAAGAACTTTCTAACAAATCACATAAAAATGATAGCACCTTTGACGTTTCTTGTTGTCTAATGATTAGTTATAGATAATAGATAAATTTCTTTATATATATAATTTCTTTGGAAAACTTGTATAAAATTGACAATTTATAAAATTATCATTATTTGAGATTACGTAATGTAATTACAAATAACAAGATAATTTATATCCATTATTTTTTATTTGAACAACAAATTGTAAAACTATATAATCTGATGTTAAAATTGGATCGAACGATCTCGAAAGAGTCAAGCCAATAAGTTCTTCAAAAATAATCGAGAATTATTTAATAAACGCAGTAGTCGATTACTATAAAGAATATCGTTCTTTGTCATCATTATTTTAATATTCCAACAAGAAGCATTGAGATCCAAGCTTCCTCGAGAAAGGAAAAGGGGTCAAGAGAGGCAGGAGGTGGAAAGCGGTAGAAGCGCAAAGGAACAAAATCGCGGGGGTGGGGCAAGCGATGCATGATGCGGGAGAGTTCGACCCCTCTACCTGCTTCCCCAACGAGAGGCTCCGCCTCCAGAAAGCCGAATGACGTCACACAGACACTTGTTACGCCTTGCCGTTGCTTGATGGGATGCTGTATCGTTGAGATTTTGCATAAATCAAAAAGAAACCTAACCAGTCACTCTACACCGATATATCTATGCACCGAAGAAGTATTTCTTCCTCAAAATATTTGTTCATCCTTCGATCATAATTTGATCATTTTTTATCTAGAAAATTCTTCTAATCAAGTATATAATTTATTTATGCATAATTAAATGAATGTATTATATAAAAAATTACGGAAAATAAAATATAAAAAGATCACATTTATATACTTTTATGAAGTAAAGAATAAAATAATAATACTACTTCTAAAGTCATATTATATATAAATGAATTATTTGAACATGTTCTTAATTTAATTTATATTACAGTGAATAAGCTTAATGGGAGATTCGCTAGCTTGTATTATACTGCAGCAAAACGCGTTCTATCCCCACATCGCGCATTTCCACTTTGCAAAGAAAGGAGGGGAAGAATCACTCGAAGGCTGGACTCATCATATCGTGGCCACTGGGAGGCTGGGCCGTCCTGAGAAATTATGCGATAACATCGATAATTTTATCGGTACTTCCCCCTTCGCCAAGAGAGGTGGTCTGAACGGCGACTGATCGTCGTTGACCAGACTACGTTCTACGACCGATGCACTTTGAATAGAAATGTATGAAAATCTATAATATACTTTAATAAGTAAATTTCTATCGTCGACCTTTAGTCTCGAGACTTAAGTGCTTGAACATATAAACACGATTGCGCGAAATCGCTAATCAGTGTATAGGAAATATAAATGTTTGTGCTGACACACAGGGAATCCCACGAGTATATCCCAACGTATATCCCGATGTATATCGCGTGTGTCAGCTTGTGATCTGGGAAATTTGCAAACGTCAATGAAAGTAACGGTAACGGTCGTCGGCCGGACGACGGAAACTCTGAAGAAAGAACGTCATCGTCGACGAGGGGCACTATCACGTTGGAGATTCCGCCGCGGAGATCACGGTGCGAAAAGTGGCGCGACGTGGGGCGGGCGGTTTGCGTGGTGGGAGCGCTGGAGCGTAGCTTGTTCCTGCCACCGAGGGGCGTCAGTTCGGGGGCAGAAGTGGAGGCGGGGGTCCAGAATCGCGGGGCTTAGGCCGTCCCGGGCCGCTTACGCGCGGAACACGCGGTCCACCGAGCCGCTCCGCGCGGCATTACGTCGCGCACCGTCGACCGCGACTGACGTTCGCGCGAGAGGATCGTCAACCGGCCGCTACACCGACAATCGCGATCATGACTCGGTTCGTTGCCAGAAGGAAATGTCAAGAGGCGTTATGTAGGAAAAGTGCGCTGTTTATCCAAGTGTAACGCCGTGACGTTATATCGGATTCGAGAAATCGTCACCTACGTCATCTCGTTGCGACTACCTGTAGGAATAGAAATCTCGACAGATGATTTAACTAGTGTCATCGGCGATAGTGTTTCTAAAGAGATAGGGAGGGAGAGGGAGAGAGAGAGAGATTTCAATGTGGTAACAAGAATGTTGGTGACAATTTAAGATATTAAATGTTAATAAATTGACGATAGACACAGTGACAATGTATTTCAAATTACCGGTCTCTCTGATCGCGCTTCGCGCAAGAAGTGCAACGGTACATCGCAAGACTCAGTTGAAAACAGCTGCTGCATCGATCCATGGATCAAGACCGGAACGCAATTTCGCCGTGTTAAGCCTGTAGTGATGATCTCGCGACCGATCATGAAAATCGATGCAATCGAGAAGAAGGAACGACTTATTGATTACGAAACGACTTATCGACGGCGAAAGACCTGCTGCGGAGGCTGGTAGCGAGGCACGACCAAGTCGCCTCCGTCTGCGAAGTAAGTGAAATCACGACGTCCCAGCCGGGGGGTGCGTGCTTGGGCGACGAGGGGCGGCTACTGGCCGATGGGATGCATCTACCGGTGGGTTCCGTGGGCTGCGGGGAGAATTACGGCACCGTTGGATCTCACGAAGGCGCCGGCCCGTGTGGTCCCTCCCTGGCGCCGCTGCAAGGTGTAAACAGCAGGTACCACCAAGTAGACGACGCCGACACCGGAGGTGGAGGCGGCGAAATGAGCGAAAGTGCCGCCGTCGGCGAACTATGGTGGACCGAAAGGCTCGTCGGCGAAGCGCAAGCCGAACATCCTGGAGAACTGGTCAGGACAGGTTGGTGTCAACGATATCAATTAAATTATTGCGAAGAAATATTAAAAATATTATTGAGAAGAGAAGTGAAAGAAAGACCGATTTTTTCGCATACTCTTCTCATTATTTTAATTAGATCAAGCAAATATTAAAATATTAATATTAAAATATTCTCATATTCTCATCTAGGCATTATACGCTTCTATTGACAGTCAGGGTTGGTTGTTTACGCGTAAAATATAATAATCTACATCTACATGTGCACAATGTAAATTATGTTTGACGTGTCATGTAAACAATGAGTAATCTATCGATCATCGAACATTCGTATTTCGTTAGAAATATCGGGAATTTATGTTCGCACAATTTTATTTTCAGTACTACTAATGAGTTTGGGCACAATTTTTAGCATGCCACGAAAAATTAACAAATCAGCGAGATATAAATAATAATATTTCTATATAGTACCATGTATCGTTTAATATAATGGTAAAGTTAATTAATTAATAAATTATAACTGAAATATATCTATAATTCAACCCCTAATCTCTAAAACTATTTTTTATTCTTTTAGGATTGTTTGTGAAAGTATAGTTAAAAAATCAAATAATTAATCAATCAGTTAATTTATAATAATTTACATTGCTTATATTATCTACATGAAAAAGGTTCGTGTATAATACACATAATATAAAAAATACGTAAACAATCCACGTAGACGTAATCTTGAAATGTACCGCACAACCCTGATTGAAACTACATTTAAATATTTTAAATTAGATATTAAATTAGATCGAGCGATTCTACATATGATAAAAATCTTTGTTTCAGGGTCGCCGTACTTTCTGTGCAGTCAACTACCGACGCACTGGCGATCCAACAAAACGCTTCCAGTGGCATTTAAAGTAGTTGCCCTCGGCGAGGTTGGCGATGGGACTCTGGTGACAGTTCGCGCTGGTAACGACGAGAACTGTTGCGCCGAATTGCGAAACTCTACCGCGTTGATGAAGAATCAAGTCGCTAAATTTAACGACCTTAGATTCGTCGGCAGGAGCGGCAGGGGTAAGTCCTGATTGTTACATTTTTTGTCTTTCTCTTTAAATTCATTCTTCTGTTCAGCAAAAAAGTATTTCGTGTTTAGTGATGTGTTACGTTTACAAAAGACATCGTGCGATTGTAAAACAAGTCTATATTCATATTCCAATTATCTTTCCGAAAACAATTTACTACACCTTTGATCATATTGAAGTTCACAAGAGAACGCTGCAGCACTGAGCAAAAGCGCGTGCCGCGATTTCCAGCCCTCTAAAATCACGGTTATTGTAATCATCATCATCGTGCCACCCTCGTCCATCCCCGTGTCCCCATTCGCGAGTTCCCGCTCTCCTGCCACCCCCAGAGTCATTACTCGATGTCTGCCACAAGCCCCAACCGAGCATTCGAAACAACTGGCCGTTAATCAGAAATCATCCAACGGATATAAACAGATATAGACGGAGAGGATGACTTGCCAAAATCAACCAACGCTGTCGATCAATGCTCTTGATTTGTTTAATTTTCGACCTTAATTTTGTATCCCTTTTCTTATCTCTCGCGGTCCTTTCGTACAAATATTAATTGATAAAAATATCAAAGCAACATCAACTAAATCGTAATGAAAAACAATGTTAACACAACTACGTTCTCTCTAATAATTATAATATAATAAAATATAATATAATAAATATAATAAGAAGATGCATCTCCTGTACGCGATACAAGGTAAAAATATTAAGTCCTTAATTGTTTTTTCTTACGAAATCTTCATAGTTGCACATTCGACCTCATTTGCGTTCTCGCGAAATATCGATTTGCCAGCCTATAATAATTATTCACGGATCAGCAGGCAGCTTTGTCAAAGCCTACAAATGCATTTTGCACCCCATGATCCGGAGGGCGCGTTTATGAATTAACGGGTCGGACTGCTCGTATACGGCGGGATATTCGTCCCGTAGCGCGTCATCTATGTTTCATTTGATTTGATCATGAAGTGCAGGGTCAGCGATTTCGTTCTCCTGACGCACAGGTGCATCGGTCCCCGGAGTCAATTAGCGAAAGAGACACTTCCCTCGCCCAAAATCCTTCGATCCCTTTGTCCATTTTTCGGCTCGTTGTTATATGTTTTTTTTTTTGTCGTTTCAATCTCTCCCCGATAATCCATAATACTCAATTTCGGCGATTGACCAAACCGCTCTCGGTGTGTTGATACTGGCCACCACCATCGGGCGACCCGGCCCTCCTATCATCGAGGTTTTGTTTCCGCGACTTATTAATTTGATTGAATTGCATCGCATCGGCCGGCAAACTGATTCAAGAAATTGCAGCGAGGATTTTAAAACGACGAGGCCACGAAAAATCGGCCGCTGCCTCCTCGATTAAAAAGAGCGATCGCGCGGCTCGTACCAACGCGACGAGATTATTTTTCGGCGACTTCGCGAATCGAGGCGAATTGATATTCCTCTGACAATTTTTCTCACCGCACAATTTTCTCCGGCAGTATATATCTGATTGAAATTGCTTTTACACGTGTCTTCTGTGTGTCATGTAAGAGATTACAACCGATCACACCTCACGGTTTATTACCTCTAATCAGCCGACTATTAAAGTCAGTCTACGTTAAAAAGGAGATAACGCGAAATAACCGCAAGCCGGTCTCGACGATCATTTTTCTTTTTATTTAAAACTATCATAAACTGACGAAACATTGACCGCTGTTTCAAAAGAGTGTGAGCGCTCCACGCGTTTAGAAGATTCTATGATTCCGGTTATTATCGCCTCTCGTACACTTATATATATACTCTTGTACTTACGAGCAAATAATTGCAAAAACGCACCGTCGCCGCGTCGCGTCGGAAAGAAACGGGATATGGTAGCGCCGAATCAAAGAAGACCGGAGGCTGAAACGACGACGGCCGTTCCATCATCATCGCTGGGGTCGAAAGCGGCCCGTGCCTATAATTAGTAATATACCGCAGTCTATATCGACACGGCTGAAATTACCACCGATAGTAATTATTTGACAATTGCAGAGACATCCTGTTGGGAGACTCTGGGACCTCCGCTCCGTCCCTACCACCAACGTGCGTCCGCTCGTCCCCTTCGCCCACCCACACCCCCTTAGCCTTTCTACCCCGTATACGCTTAGCCCTACGCGATCTCCTCCCCTCCGTTCGCCTCGTCGCCACGAGTATTAACGGACGGTTTCGAGTGGTTTCGGGCGGTTGTGTGTGGGCGGTTTGGGTTGGCGCGCTCATCTCATCGTCGGTGTATTGCCAACGCACCGACACACACGCATACACATACACATGTACACGTGCGCAGGGAGAGAGACACACGGGAGATCGTGAGTAGTCAAGCTGTGATGCTGCACGTTATATAGGTGCCACATACGCGTGGCCCGGTTTTGTCCGTCCGTCCGTCCGTCCGATCGCCCGTCCGTCCGTCCGTCCATCCGTCCGTTCGTCCGACCGACCGTCCGTCGTTCGCGAATGCACAGGCTGGGTCCTGTCTCTGCAGATGACCGTTCCCATCATCGAGTATTAACCGCAGGTTCGGGCGCCGGAGAGGGGAGTCGGCTGTGCGGCATTATTAGCCCCAAATGCGATGGACTCGGCCGGGGAAGAGGGGGTCTAGTTCAACGCGCGACCCTTCCTCCGATCGGTCGCCACCTTCCCCCCTTCCACTTTTCCGACTTTGGTAATCCTCGGATTTCCCGCGATTTTCCAATTAAAATCTTTTCATCTTAAATCTTTGATTTTAAAAATTTTTTAATGATCTTATCAATCTTACGATTGACTCTAATTTCGTTGACCCAGTATTTTCCAAAAAGTTAAGCCCTATCAAGAGAACTTATAAAAATTATCTACATATTACCGTCTATTATCCTCCAACGACCGTCTATTTTTGCATTGCAAAAAAAAAAAAAACATCACGTTAGAGAGAAATCGCCTTTTGACGCAAAAATTTGAATCGACATCCCGGAACGATGCTCTTTGCACGCGACAGATGAACGATGACGATGGCAATGACGGCCGCGGGAGGTATCCTGGGACCGGGCGGAGGGTGCAACGGGGGTGATTCTATCGCGGAAGAGCGGAGAGAGCGCGATATAACTGGGATATAACGCCATGTAGCTCTGCAGTCAGTTGCAGTTCCCGGGGGTAGTGCGGGGGTTGGCGGTGTTTGATGCCGGTTATCATGTTGACAGACACAGCGAGGTGGAACTGGGTGTACCAAGGGGAGACAATTACAAATCGTTGACATTTACGCCAACACAAACGATTGCATGTCCGCGACGCGTTAGGTATCGTCTCTTTTGGGCGTAAACAGCAGTCTTGGTCGTGTTTCGTTTCGTCATATTGGACAAGTTGACACCGAGTGTTTTGGCGAACGGTTCTCGCGAAATAAATGGCATCGTACGAATTGTTTTCGTTAAGTTATCGCCTGCTACGTCGGGTCGGCTATTACGTAGGCAACTCGTTTAGCTAAAACATACCGAACTTGTCTGTTTCTAATTCCGGAGAACGTAAATAACGAGAGGCTAAGTTCGGTGTAAATTTCTCGCCGCGCGAACGGATCCTCTGTCCGAGCAGTCCGAGAGGGACACGTGGTCAAAAGGGACAACTGGCTGCTTCTACGGAAGAGTTGCGAAAGAGCGGCGAATTACCGAATGCATATTAGCGCGCGATGGGTCGTTTAAGAGCGCGTAGTCAATCTCTCCGACGGACGTTTATGGAGAAGGAATTAATATACCGAGCCTTCAACTTCCAGACCTTCACTGATGATATATGTACACGACGCTCCACCCCTGAGTATCCACTCCTCTTCTATTATCTTTTAACGTGCTTAAGAATACCGAGACTCCGAGTTAAGATCTAATAGACACGGATGTAATTGCAAAGTTGCAAATTATAAATTGGGCCTCACTTTCGTCATATTCAAAGATAGAAATATGTTTATTAATTTTTATAATTGATAAAATAAATAAACAAAAACTACTTGTAATATATATAACTATGATGCAGAATATGTAATAAATCAAACGTTCCTTTTAAATCACGTGCGTATTTTTCGAGAAAAATAATTTTGTATATAAAAATAACACATTTTTATTAGGCTATGTGTAGTGATTTTACGAAGAAATTGCGAACCGAGATATCTTATCTAATTTATTTATATCCATTTATAAATTAATTGAACAATACAAAAGAGTAAAGTAAATTAAACGATGAAAGCTCAAATCCTTCAGTATACAGGCAATTTATACATAAATATATCGTATTCTCTGTGTGACAGGAAAGAGCTTCAGCATCACCATTACTGTGTCGACGTCGCCACCCCAAGTAGCAACCTACACGAGGGCGATTAAGGTGACCGTCGATGGACCACGGGAGCCACGATCGAAAACGAGTAAGTGGAACATGCGACACTTTATGCAACGGTTCGATCGCGAGTTCGAATTTCTATTCGACGCGGTTCTGCACCGTCCCGGGGATTCCCTGAAAATGTACCGATAATTCAACGAAAGTCCCTGTACGCGGTAATGGGGAGTCATTACCGAGCAGATGGTGCGCGATGATGCAGTGGTCGACGTGCGTATCGCGTTTGGTGCGTGTTTCGGGTCGGGCTATTCGCGTACCTATACACATGCATGGGTATACACGCATACACGCGGGAGACAATGCTTTTACAAGCGCGTGCGCGCGCGCGCGTTTGTGCGCGCCGGATACGCTAACTCACTTACGCTAATTTGCCGCGAAAACACCCGAAAAATTACTAAAACATTCTGTTGGCGGATTCATTATTGGTCGGCCAAAATTGATAGAATCACGCGAAACGCAGTAAAAGTCGATCGGGAGTGGCTGCCCCGACCCTCCAGTTTTATAACTGTGGGTCCGTCCTCCGTCCCTCCGCGTCGCGTCGCGTCGCGTCGGATCAGAAGGAGATATCGCGCGCTTGTGCGCCCGACGATTCAGCCGACACCTATTTTCGGATGCATTCGCGGCGAGCAAAAAAATGGTCGTTATTTCGATATCAGATTAATAGCCGTTGCGGAGTTAACCGCGAAAACGGCAGTTTTTTGCGGGCGTTTCGCATTTGTTGTATAAAGTATTGATAGAAGCAGGGCGCCGCGTACACCCGCTGGCTCTACTATTTTTTTCGAAATGGTCGAGCGTGATTGATTTTACTGTTGTTTTTACTGCTTGACTCAGGCCGCGTGTCGGGCGGGACCAGGTGCAAAAATGCGTGAATCTCGTCAATTTTCCAGCCAGCATAAAGTGCACTTAACGACGGAGTTAAAGTTTCAATAAGTCGCGCCCGTGGACTTTTATACCTTTGTGGCAACGCTTCAACGTCCCAAAGATGTTTGATTCCGATTCGAGTACTCCGATACAGTCCATCATTTGATTTCATCATCAACAGATTACTAATTCTCGAAAAAGCTTATATAGTCCTAAAGGAAGAAATTTGACAAAATGTTTACCGAGACAATTTAAATCCACCAAGATCCATTTATTTACCACTGAGGAAAATTTGATATTTAATAATTAATCTAATAATGAGTCTCAGTAGATCTGTGAAAAAATAAAATCATTATAAGTTTAGAAATAATTTGTAGACTTTATATATATTAATTCCGATAATCCACAAGAGTGTGTGGTAGGTGGAACCCGCTTTAAACGAGAAGCTTGTTTACGTCGTTTAAGCTGTCGCGTCGGTTCAAGCATGGCAGACCGGACGACCGGACGTCGCATCGCCGACCTACTGGCCTTTTCCGAACCGAAAGAGACAACGCGAACGAACGCGTGTCGCGTGGCACGGACCGTCGGCGTCGCGGAATAGAACACGCATGACGACATATTGCATACACGGGTTTGGCATCCCCGATGGCGTGCTTCATCGGCTGGCACGCACCAGGGAGACAATCTATGCAGCAACCGGCGCGGCGCGGCGCGGCGTACGAACGCCGTCGAGCAAAACAACCGGCAGCGCTTTCATTGTGCTGCCAACAATGCGCGACGCTCGATGCCCCGCAGACACCTGCCGACTCTCATTATTGCGTGCATAATCGCAAGCTTTTTGTTATCGGAAATCATCCCTCCGCGCCGCGCTTCGTGTGCCATAGGCCATAGACCAATGTGGCCAATAATCGGGCAATTTTCGTAATTCACCGCTTCGCAACACTGGCAGCGAAAGAGTTTAGAATAGTCCTTCCTGTCCTCCAGGAAGAGAGGCGAATTTGACAGGAGAAATGTCCTTTCTTTCTCTCACATTTAATCCACACACAAGATAAATTATAATACATTATAATATAATACATTCCGTTGAGAAGAAAAGATATATATTTCTGATAACAACGATAGAAAGAGAGAAGAGATTGTTCTCTAAAAATTAAAGCACAAGGTGATAGCTTTGACCTTTCGTGATAGACGGATCAATGACGGCGAAGTAGTGTCCGAGTAATTTGTCAGTTGCCAATAACTGAAACGGCAGCAGCAGTAGCAGTAGCGTTACGCAGGACGAATCGAGCGCGGTACGGATAAATCGAGAACGAGAGAGGCGTCCGCGAAACAAAGTGGCCGCTGCCCGTCACCGTGGCCCAAAATCATCGAAATGCAAGTGAGTGAAACGATATCGATGCCATGGATGGGTGCTGTCAGTCAAAGGTCGAAATTGAATTTGCTTCGCTCCGTAATTGATCCATATTTGAAATGTCGTCTATTAGTAGGATGCCATAGATTCGCGAAATGATTTTCCGTTTTAATACGAACAACGACGTATCGCCTTTGGTACGTCGCGTCGCCGACGGTGAATTTTCCGCTCTCGATATTTTTGCTTAATAACGAGCGACAGAACGTGACGTGGTATTTCTTTTTGAGAAACTCACGAGACCCGGATTTTGAATCGTAAAATACGCGAGAGGTACCGATTCGTCGATTTCTTACTACCAGGTCAATCAATATTCCGTTTTATCTCTACAAAATCGTACGTTCGTCAATCGACATTCTCTTAAATATTGTTTTCGAGAAAACCGATAGCGACGAAAGGAATCATACGAAGCAATTTCGGCAGTCGGTGGCCGTCAATCAAAATGTTAAAATTGGACCGGGCTACTTCGCGATTGGATTCCCTCGTGGCCAACTCTTGATCCTGATACCGGTCAGAGGAAGGCTCTATCGGCGACCGAAAAGTCTGATTAAAGACCACCTCCTGATAAAGCGACGTCGAAAAGTGACGGATCTAGCGAAGCTTCCGCTCGAGCGTCTAATCGTAAATTGTAGTCTCTGGAAAAATTATTCGCAGTTATCGTTACAACGATCTGAAATCGAGAGCGGATGTACATGGATATGCCAAGTGCGTTCGTTAGAAAATGAAAAAAGAGCAAAGGAGAATGAAATCTAGGAAACGCTGCGTTGGCCTGGGCACTGGCGTCAAGGAGAACGTAAGACGGGCGGAGAGAGAGAGAGAGAGAGAGGCTCCGTTATTAGAGAGGAGGAAAAAGCCGCGCTATTTCCGTCCTCCCGGAGCCGCCACACTTTGATTAGATAAGTCCACCACTCGTGCTGTGGAGATTGGAATTATTGCTCTCTCCGTCCTACCTTCTCTCTCTCTCTCTTCCTTGTTCTCTCTGCTTATCCATGCTTCACGAGTTAGAGGGGCGATTGATGAAGGTGTTATATCACCATCATTCTTATTTATTGTAATTAAATTTTTTCATGTGCCTATTAACGACCATATTCTTCTTCGCATTCTTATATCTTGACTATCGCCAAATTGCATTCGCGATTATATGGTTCTTTGTGCAAAGAGAATCCGTATTTAATGTGTTTAAAAATCCTGCAACATTTTATTTACCACGAAATCATCTATATTTCTCAAATTTCTCGGGCATAAGGTTTTTGCGGATAAAGTTCATGCCTACCGTTTAATCTTTCGCGAGAGCGAGCCCGAACCGAGCAAGGAGTACATCGGCGGGCCCATCGCTGCGTAACGTTCCGTACGTTTGAAGCATTATCGGTGTCCGGTACGTGAGAAGTCGTGGGATCCGCGCGGAGCCCTATACACGAGCCTCTTGCTTGTAGTATCTCCTGGCGCGGGCCGATCGTGGTAGTCGGTAGCAAGGAATAATCTTGTAGGCATCGGTCAGAGCACTGAAGCTGACCATCTGGGCTCGCCGACAATTTCGTGCAGTTTGTGGTCGAACTTTATTTGTCGTTCGCCCTCGTGGCCGGAGGTGTTTCTCTCTCCTTCTTTATCTTCGTTTTCCCATCTTCGTCTTTCTCTCCTCACTGTCTTTCCTTCCTTTTCTCTCTTCTTTTTTTTCTTTCTTTCTTTCTTTCTTTCTTCCCCTTCTACTCTCGAAGAATAACAATTTGCGCCTAGGCTCCCATTCTTCGCTTCTCCTTCGTGCTGAAACCATTGAAAGAGAGAAAGAAGAGGTTGGGAGAAGCATGAGAAAAACGGGCAAGGCAAACGTGCTACTTCTGTTGCCTATCGATAATTAATGAGTAGGCCTCAATGTTTCTGTTGTCTCTCTACAGACATCAATATGCAAATATTGAAAATCTGAAATTATAAAAATTAATTCTCGACACGTCGAAAAATATATGTCACTTAATCACACTTAATTCTTGTCTGCCATTTTCCATCCGGCCTTGTAACTTTTTAAAAGTTAACGTTATTATTTTACATTTAATACATTTCATCTATGCATCTCCGATTATTATGTAAACGTCCGGGCTTATGCACGTGCCGAGTCATGTGCATTGTCGTGTAACAATATGTATCAAGCGTGTATTAGGATCCAACGTAATAGGGAATCGGAATACCCGCGTTATGTGTACGTTGCGATACTTGGCTCGCAAGAGATTCTGTCTATCCGTGAGGTCCCGGATATGCGAGGAATGCTATTGAAGTCTATCAAGGGAAGAGAGGTCGAGTTTCTTCATTATCCCGTTCTATTGGGCTAATGACGTAGACGCGCGCTGGTCGATCTCCCCGATTTAGAGATTCCAATCGTGTCCGAATCGTGTCAAAGCGACATAAAAATCCAGATGGCCTCTAAAGGAAATGTCTAAAATATATTTCGGAATTCTTTACGAAGCAATTTGTAATCGAAAAAATATTAGGACCTTTTTGTCAATTCAAATGTTAATATCGATTTCGATTGTAGATAATAAATTTAAACGACTCTCAAGATTACGAACAAGTAGTATGATGTATGTGTATATACATATGTGTGTGTGGTAAATCATTTTTTTTAGGGCAGCAACATCAGCAATTCCGTGCGCTCGGTCTAGGACAAAGACCTTTCCTCGACGCGCCGACCTCGTTCAGGTCCCACCTGCGGGAACTCGAATCCTTCGGGAGGAATAAGCATCACCATCATCACAGCAGCAGTCACTTACACGACCAGCAGACTGGCAACAACGTCACCACGAATTCGGTTAGCGGTGCCTGCACCAACCCCAACAACACCGACCCGACCGCATCACCGGCTTCCAGTACACACCTCGGGGCTACCGGTGGCTCTTCTGTTCATCAGGATTGCTACAAGCGCAGTCCTCAACACGGCGGTGAGTTCTGATCTTATTGTTGCATATTTTTAGTGCGATCCGATTGTTCTAAGTCAACCTAATTTGTTTTACGCGAAGCTCTAATGCATATGTACCTATATAATCTCATTAGCATTTACACGTTAAAAATTAAATAAATGAAATAGAGATGTTCTTTCTATTTAATGCTTAAGCAAGCAGCAAGTAGATCCTCATTACGATACAAATGAGTGCGAATCTCTGGGAGATCTTTTAAAAATCGAAAACAATTATCACACTTGCTTCGACGTCGCGCAATTTTAATATACCCATTTCTTCTTGAAGAAGAAGAAAAATTTTAAATTTATTATAACAAGAATAGTTTTAAGAGATATTTTATTTTATTTATTGTGGATAAATTTTTCGAAGGATAGTCTTTACGTATGTTATCATATATAAAGATTGGCTTGTTTATATCTCAGTGGAAATTTACACGCCACTTGTCTAAGTGTTAAGCTGAAACAACATCTTCTAGTTTATTTGCTTCTTTGGCTCGTGATGAATATCCGTGATGCCGCTATCATCATCTCGCGCTCTCTTCGCGCAACATGCCTCGTGAAGAGTGACTCGATACGCACTCTACCCCACCCAACCCTTTGTCGCAAGAGGGTGAAGAGGTAGGAATCGAGGAGGGAGATCCCGGATTGGGAGGGAAAGAGAGGAGATCTCTGCCGTTTCGCGAGGTAATAGTTTCATACCTCGTTCCGGCTCTGCACCCTCTAATTCAACGTAATAACGACATTCAACCTGCCATTTCCATCTCCCTCCTTGCCGATCTCTCTCGATGCACCGTTGCGTCGCCGTAGCACAAGGAAAAAGTGTCCTCCTCCTCATGGAAGAACGTCATCGGTCACGAATAAGCTACTTGAGATCTACGAAGATATTTTCCTCCGTAAAAATTTTTCCACTCAACAAAAATTTTCCTTTAACAAAAAGACAAAGAATCGTCGGAAAATTACCGCAGTGCCAGTGGCTTTAAATCGTTCAACTATGGTTGAAATTCGTCGTAGCTAGTAAAAAAGTGATCATTTCTCTTTTGCGCGATGACGACAGAAACTATTCGACGCGCGAGCTCCGCGCCTGTCGGATAGCTTCGATATTTCGAACTATCGAGATAATTTAGGATGCAAAAAGGCGGGAAGGTCGAGGCAAGGCACTTTATTTCTGCGCGGCTCGTCTCGCATCAGCGGTCTCGACCTGATCAAAGTTAAGTAGACGCGCCTCTGGCTGGTGAGACCTCTTTGAAGCTACGTTGCGGTTTCTCTTTGCCCTAATCTCCTCCTCCGCAACCCCGGCTTCCTCGCCTCTTCTCGCCCTGCGATCAGGTCCTCCGTCACCTTCCGGACTGAGACTTCTCGTCACCCGAGACACTTCTATGGATCGACCATCGTAATTAGCTCGTTTATCCGCGCAAAGCTTATCATTGCGTGCCCGAAAGAACGCAAACTGACTCGTTAGCCGCTGTCAGAATCTGAAAGACCGTCAAACGCCAAATCAGTCAGATTAGATCAACGATGTATTTCACTTTCACTACCTTAGCTTGAATGAATGCAATCTCAGCAGATATTCCATTTACCGCTCATTCATTCGACACTTCTTCCCTTCTTCGCGTCTCTAATGAGCAGTTCCCAATTTCGATACGCGCCGGATTCTCATGCTTGCGCTTGGTGCAAAATGACTAAGCGCGTCGGTGGATGTAATCTTCTTCCTCCCGTCAGATTCAAGGGAGAAGAAAAAGGTAGAGAGCTATCCGTTTTGTCTTTAGCAGCCCTTCCATCCTCGGATAATTCTTTTCACTCGATTCGGACCTTTCTGACGACGGCATCGGCACACCCGACATGCTCGTGCACTCACGTACAACTCACGTGCACGTCTGCGTAATACCAGGGATCGATCGGTCGCTTCTCGATCGATCCGGAGCTGGATCCATGTTGTTTTTGCCCTTCGCTCGCATGATTCTTCCTTTTATCTTCTGTTCGCTTCGCTTGCGACGTTACTGAATCGAACCTATTCGCCTCCTCCTCTTCTTCGTCTCGTCTCTCCGTGATCTTCTTTCGTCATCTCGTGATTGCTTTCTAAATCTCACGTACGTGTCGGAAAGTTCTAAGAAAAAGTGAAATCATTAAAAATTCTATCATAAGAGTAAAAATGTAATAACAGGTAACTACATGAAATTGATAAGATTTACGGTTCGGTAACTTGGAAAAAGAAATAAGAAAAAAGTTAAACATTTGTATCCAATTTTTTTCTTGAATATGACAAAATAAATTCTATATACGATTGTTTTCTGTGCGTTTCGCAATTCCATGTGTAAATTTCAAAATATAAATACTGCCGCATATATTGTCTTGACTGAAAGAGTAAGCGCCACGTCGCGTCGCGTCGGTCGGGAGGTCCCTAAGTAAAGAAAAAAGAGAAGCGAGCATTATTTCTGTCTCTTATAATATAACCGTGTCCGTTTCTTCCTTGCCCCGCCGAGTCTCATTTCGAGTCATGATCGGGGTAATGAGGCCCCGCGCGCAGTGGCAACGGACCGAGTAGGTACCCGAAGAGATGATGCGAGAGGAATGAGAGGCGAGAGAAGAGAGGAGAGGAGCGGATCTCAAGTGATATCAACGTGAAAGGAACGGAGAGGAGTGCCTGCTTGGGCACCAGGAAAAGGAGAAACGCGCGGGCGGGAAGGGGTAAAACGAACGGTGAAGCCACGATGCTGCCAGCATAGTAGGGGTAAGGACGCTGATTATGGGGTGTCAAACAATCATGCTGATTGTATATTCTGTGCTGACTCCTTCTGCTCCTTCTGTCTGCCTCCACGTCTACTCGTATAGGTTGCAAGCAAACTCTTGTTTCCCGTCTTCGCGTCTTCCTTCTTCGTTCTCGTCGTCGTCGCGTAGTCATTCTCTTCCTCTCTTCTCTTCGGCGAGAACAGACTATGTAGAAAGAGAGAAAGATTGTCGGACATGCCTTCTAACAGGTTCGCTGTTGGAGAAAGGGACGAAAACTACGTTTCTAAAGACGCGTCACAGTGGTTTACGAGAAGGAAGTTATTTATCCGGCTAAGATAAATGAGCAGTCGAGTAAAATTAGAAAAATCCGCCAGGTACGAGATAATAGATAAAAAGTTTTCCAACTAAAATGTCGTAAATTTTTTTCAATATGACGAAAAAAATATTGTGAGAGGAAGGAATGAAAGAAAAATATCAATGATTCTCGATAAGAGAAACAATCTCTCTCTTTTTCTCTCTTTCATGATCACAATTCGCCGGCGTATTTTTCGGCCGCGCAAACGATTGACGATTTTTACGTGCGGCCAGTTACCGGGTGGTTAAGGTTAAGAAGCGTGTAATTCGCGTTGCGAGCTTCGTCCCCGGGAGGTGCGCGCGAAGAATCCAGGAGCAGCTTGTCGCGAGTTAGCAAGAAGGAAATCATCTCTCTCATATCCTCTTTGCCGGCATATTACTCGCCGGCGAGAAAGAGACAAAGAGGCCGCGCAGCTGCACCCGACGACCGGCGCATCTCTCGACTCTTTACCTATTTACCGGGATGCTCGTACTTTACCTAGAAGATATCCAAAAAGACGACGAGTCACGCGAGAGAGCAGCGTTACACCGCCGCGCCGCGCGCCGCGCCGGGACCGAGATCCACAGAAAAGGACCTTGTGAAGAGAGCATTGAGAGAGGAGGCCCGATCTCGCGGTTCCCACGTGCCTCTGCAGCTACCAAGAATGCGGCTACCTTTCTGGCTGTTCCACGCATTTTTTCCACCTACTGATTGTCCTACCGTGAATCTCAGTACCCAACTCCTTCGGCCTTGATGCACTTTACTCGTTAGTACTTAGAATGCTGCCGACGCGGCTTAATGGAAGCCTAGTGCGTGCTTGTACGAGATTATTACGCCTCCTTGCTGCTACTTGCTGCAGCTGGCACTCTTACTTAAACGTTATTTCGATGTTCTTGAGAACGGCACGATCTTATCCATGTACGCATTATATGGCGAGTCCAATTCCAATATCTCATTTTAACCGACATCCGACTGCCGTAAATCCAATAGGCACAATCACAATTTTGTCTCACCATCGAAATTATTAAAAACTCAAATATATAGAAAAATAATTTAGCTTCTTTTTTCATGTGTGTGTGATTATCATATTATCATATAATAATATATTTCTGTAAAAAAATGTAAAAGTTTATATTTACTGTAACGCGTTTATAAAGTTATTTATGTTTTTTAAAGCTAGAGCTTCTTGTATAAAATGATTATCTTTATAGCACAGTAGAAAGCAAAGGATTACGTCCAGTTGTTCGTAAGTTTCCCGATCCGAAGTCTACCAGCCCCGCGAGAAACAGGCGGATAAGGGTTGCTTTTCTTAAACAGGGGAAAGGGCAGGAAGTTGCGAGGCAATTAGGAAAGTGTCACACACACTCCTATCACGACTCACCCTCGCAACATGGCGACCCCTATCATGCTCTATCACGAGGTTATTAACACGCACTAAATCGTTTGTGGGATGTGAAAGGATCTATAACACATTAAGAAGCAGCGTTTAGCACGTCAGTGCATTTATTTACCTTTTTTTAAAATGTTCTCAAAATAATTTTAGACGAATTCTTACACGTTAAATTATATCGAGTTACACCTTAATGACATCGAAAATTTTCATGAAAAAGACTCGTGAAGAAAATGAGATTATCGCTGCTGCACAATTTGAGAAACGACGACGTAAACTTTTCTTCTTTGCAATTTGTACTTCTCGTAAGAAAGCGAAGTTCGAACCTTGGCCAACGAGCCTTCGATGCCTACTAAAATGACAAACGCGACCGCAGAACTTAATTAAACTCGTAAATCCGTTGGCACCATCGTAGACTTCCACGACAGTTGTTCAGTCTTCTAGTACTTATTTACCTCGCAATACATTCTACTCGTATAAATGGCGTCCTGGCCAATTAGAAACGTTGGCTGCAACGTGTACCTGCGCGAAC